AGGATATTTAACAGATAACAGCTGTACATTTAGCTCACTTTGATGACGATGTGTATGTAATACAGTGTACTGCATATTCAAAAATATTATCTGAAACTAAACGTATTATGCAGTGATAACCATTTCAAACTGTGAAATGCTGCTTTTGTCACATGAACTCATCATATTAGCATTTTGGTGCATTTGTAAATCAAATTAATTAAGCACTAAAAAACCTTAAACGTACATAAAACTTTAGTCGGCATGAAACCGATAGTCCCGTATATCGAGTGAAACGCTTCTGGAACAAGAACACATGTGGGCGGGGCTTGATTGTGTCTGTGGATGGTTGTGGTTTGCTATTGGCTGATCTCATGTGAGTGACAGGTTAAAGCCCCGCCCACATCATCAGAGAAGAGAAGAGATGTCGCTGAAGTTATTGAAGAGATGCTGCAGGAGGAACTTATTCTGATTCAAGATTACCAGGAACATGAATTTAACACAATAATGATGATGTGCACCTATATATCATTTAGAACAAACAACGCAAGTCAAACACAATGCATTGTGGGATACTCCACGCCAGACCCTACACTGCAAATGTGGATCATCCAGCTGTTCTGTGTGCATACAGATATCTATGCAAAGTTTACAGAAACAAACTGGTCTGCAATAACGACTGTAGAAGAGAACTGAGAGAGTCTCTGTGTCGTCATTGGTTTCTGCACTCTTTAGTTTAGAAGCAGTTTAAACAGCGTTTTCACATCGTGTTTTAGGAATCAATCCGTTGTTAGCGCTTGGTTAACGGCTCCCATCTGCAGAAATGAATCTGGCATAATTCAATATGGGCAAAGGCTTTAGTCAATGAGAAAACTTGCACTGTCTGCAAGAAATCAGTTATAATATAGATTCCTTAAAGAGAGAATCAGCCAATTACTGTACAGTCACTCATACTCATAACTGAAGCATCTGATGATCTGATGAAGCCGAGAGAAACTGAAACACTTCACTGAAAGCCTTTATACGTAATGCATTATAAAAGTATTTTAATGCATAAATTATGCCTCATAATGCACCTATGAAGAATTGTAACCACAGTTATAATATCTATTAATTGAACAGCTTTATAATGCATTAAAACACACGATAAACAACCAGTTTCAGATGCAACAAGGAATCTGCAAATAATGTGCATTTTAACTTTGGTTACAATTTTGAAAAGATATAATGCACTGTGAATATACAATGCATTATATATGTATATCCTTTATGTGTATGCATATATAGCTTGAAGTGTTACTGATAAACCTTCTTATATGTTAGAAAAAGCACAGATGAGATGTCTTTTATATCTTTTTTTTTTCTTAGAAAATGGAGAGAAAATGGAGAGTTTTTGCTTCTCAAAGATTGAAAATCTCACGTTTCTCCTCTAGAGGTTGAGAAGAGATCGTAAACTTTGCAAATAAAGTTTGCAATCTAAAGTCAGTGTGATCTCAAACTTTTTCCCAAGAACGAATGATCTGAGCCAACAAACATCTTCATTAAGTGAATGCAATAATTGAGTCTCCGGAGAGCAACCTGTGAGTTTCCAGTGGGTTTAAATGCATTACTACATTAAATGTAACTTATTTTCCCACAAAAAAAGCAACAGAAATAATACAATAATTACTTAAAGTCTTACTTTCTCCATGTAGTCAACATCCTTCTGGCGCAGACCTCTGGTTTTTAATTTCTCTGCTTTGTAACATGTAAATAATAAGAAGGGGACGATCAATACTGGTGTGTTGAAGAGTCCCATATCTGAGCGCTTACAGAGGACGGGCGTCTCACATCTGTGGAGCTCAGGACTGAGAGAGAGAGAGAGAGAGAGAGAGACTGAGAGAGAGAGAGAGAGAGACTGAGAGAGAGAGAGAGAGAGAGAGAGAGAGAGAGACTGAGAGAGAGAGAGAGAGAGAGAGACTGAGAGAGAGAGACTGAGAGAGAGAGAGACTGAGAGAGAGAGAGAGAGAGAGAGAGAGAGAGACTGAGAGAGAGAGAGAGAGAGAGAGAGAGACTGAGAGAGAGAGAGAGAGAGAGAGAGAGAGAGAGACTGAGAGAGAGAGAGAGAGACTGAGAGAGAGAGACTGAGAGAGAGAGAGACTGAGAGAGAGAGAGAGAGAGAGAGAGAGAGAGAGAGAGAGAGAGAGAGAGAGAGAGAGACTGAGAGAGAGAGAGAGAGAGAGAGAGAGAGAGGAGAGAGAGAGACTGACTGAGAGAGAGAGAGAAGAGAGAGAGAGACTGAGACACTGAGAGAGAGAGAGAGAGAGAGAGAGAGAGAGACTGACTGAGAGAGAGAGAGAGACTGACTGAGAGAGAGAGAGAGACTGAGACACTGAGAGAGAGAGAGAGAGAGAGAGACTGACTGAGAGAGAGAGACTGACTGAGAGAGAGAGAGAGACTGACTGAGAGAGAGAGAGACTGACTGAGAGAGAGAGAGAGAGAGAGAGAGAGAGAGAGAGAGAGAGAGAGAGAGAGAGAGAGAGAGAGAGAGAGAGAGAGAGAGAGAGAGAGAGAGAGAGGAGAGAGAGAGAGAGAGACTGATGTGTTTCTCATGGGACCAATTATTCCCAGACCGCCAGTGAAACTTCACTCTACATGTTGAATTGTAATATAATGGGTTATGATCTGACATGAAACCAGAATCAATATTTCTGATGGTCATATCAGCGGAGCCTACTGACCTTTGACCTTTTCTCCCTCGTCCAATTATGATGTAACAAAGACTTTCTGTTAGCAATACAATCTTTTTTTTTGCCTCAGCTAAAAATGTGCAGCATTTAAAGGGATAGTTCACCCACAGATGGGCTTTTCACACTTGAACTAGTCAACCCTGGGTCAAACAGAATCCTGGGTTATCTTCATGTTTCACTTTGCTCACAATAATCCTAGCCATTCATAAGATTCACACTAATTCCTGAAAACTTCTGAACTACGAGAGTGAAACGTTCCCTATTCCCGGCGGTTAAAGCAGGTATAAGCCCTTCTGTCGTCATTACTCACTTATAATTATCACAGGAATAATTCACCCCAAAACAACATTTAACTTGCAAATTTGCAATTGCATACACTCAAATATTGAGGTTTTTGTATGAATTATTCCTTTAATTAAATTCATTTTTGCAGGGTGATTTTTTGCAACATTACCGCTTTAACATTCATATTTTATCATCAGATATTGGTATTAAAATAACTTCGGATGTTCTCCCGAGATAGTGTAATCTCCTCTGATAATCGCGCAGGGAAACGATCCGGCGCTGGGAGTTTTCAGAACCTCTCAAGGAATCGATCCGGGCTCCCAAAGATTACATATCAGCCTCCAAACCGGTGTTGTTTCTTCTGTGGCCACATTTGAATTCTTGAAAGTTTAAGGCATTATTCATATTGTTGGGATGTATAGTGCATGAGTCATATATATGTTTTTTTTGTCCTTTAAAACAATATGAACTGTCATTAAATAAAAAAGAGTTGCGTAAAGTGATTAAAGCGTGAGTAAATAATGACAGAATTCCCATTTTTTGGAATGTGTATTACAAAAATAACTGGCTTTTTAAAGAGGAAACTCTTGATTTTGTGTTCAGGCTCTACTAGAACAGGTTTTCCTGCTTGGATGTTGATTATTCTCCTCATATTCTCCATTGTTGCGGCTCCTCTCTTCCCAGTCTGTCAGTAACGCTCTGTTTACTTCCTGTCTCTATGAAGCCCCTCCTTCTGAAAAGCACACTGTGCTCTGATTGGTCGGCTGGATCAGTGTGCTGTGATTGGTTGAGCGCTTCGAGTGTGTTTGGGAAAGTCCCGCCCCTTTCCATAACTGCCAGTTTAACACACTACTAACTAGGGGTGCGCCAAAATATCGATATGGCGATATCTCACGATATTTACTCCCGCGATCGATTCTCGATGCGCTCTTGCCAAGTATCGATCTTAAAAGCCGTTATAAAACGCTCTATTCATTATCCGAGTTGACTGGATTTGACAAGCTTTCATGAGGCACACACGCAAAGTCTCTCGCTCTCTCCCTCTCTGCCGTGCTATGTATGTTATGCGCGCAGTAGGCTGTTCTGTCTTGCATGCGCACTCTAGATTTCGGGAGATTTGAACTAATTTGCAGGCATCAGGGAGACGCTATTAATATGCGGGAGACTCCCGGAACTTCCGGCCGGAGACTTGGGATGTCTGGATTTGCAAAAGTCCGCTACACGGGAAACACGACCACATGTACAGACACCTCACGCGGCATCACCCGGAGCTCTGTGAGAAGCCGTGGTTGGTTCTGGCTCGAAGCCGACACACCCCGGCGTAAACATTTTTATTACTACTGATTGCAGCAATGTTACACTAAAATAGTGTCTGTGACTGTTTTGTTGCAACTGATAAGACACAAGTTGTTTTTGTTATTGTGTTTCATCCCAAAAAATAAATGGAGATTAATTTTCCTAATTTAAAAAAAATGTCTATTTCTTAAAACATGATATATTGTGAGTTATTACTGATAATATGTCGATTATCGCAGTATCGGCATATCGTGATATTATCGGTATCGTGAACAATGTATCGCATATCGTATCGTATCGTGAAGTAGCCAGCGATTCCCAGCCCTACTACTAACTAACTCAACCAGGCCCGCCCCTTTATTCTGCGTATTAATTATTATATTGAGGAATATTGTGACGTGTTCCTGAAGAAACTCGAGACTACAATGGAGGCGTTTCAGGAGTTCAGAAACAGTAGCCGCATTTCCATTACCCTTCAAATTTCGCAAATTGAAATTACGAATTCAAAATACGCCCAATGGAAACACGTCAAATTCTCAAAAACTCCCAAATATCGCAAAAATTGGGCGGCAGTGGCTCAGTGGTTCATGTTGGTTGTCTACAAACCGGAAGGTTGTGGTTCAATCCTCGGTTCCACCTGACCAAGTGTCGATGTGTCCATGAGCAAGACCCCTAACCCCGGCTGCTCCCGACGAGCTGGATGGCGCCTTGCATGGCTGCCGTCGCCCGTCGGTGTATGAATGAGTGAGTGAATGGGTGAATGTGAGGCAAATTGTAAAGCGCTTTGGTGGCCATTGGGTCTGTGAAAGCGCTATATAAATGCAGTCCATTTACCATTTTACCAAAAAAGTTTTGGACGATGAGACCGAGTTGTTTCTTAAAACACATAAAATATAAAAGTATTACGGGAATACTGGATTCTAAACAACAAAGAAATGCCACCATTGATCAAGAGCTTGAAGCAGAAACTCCTCATACGAGCCGCTCACAGTAGAGGATTCCCTTACCGTTAATGCTAACACACGTCTACTGCGATTGAAAATAATGGCTAGTGCGCTGGCTGGGATATATGTAAATTACGTACGTATTATTGCTTATCGCGAGAGGAAAAATGGCGTTTTAGTCGCATAACATCGGTTAATGGAGACGCCGTCATTTTGCAATAATTTTTTTATCGACATTTAGAAAATATCGCAAAAGTTTTGCGCAAATCTGTAATGGAAACAGGGCTAGTGTCACTAATATAGAGAATAACTAAGAGCTTTAAAGCTCAAACAGCAACACTAAAGAAAGATGAACATGGAAAAAGCCTAATAAGACTCCTTTAATATCGGACTTCTAGGCTTAAACCTCCATCCGATGCTGCATGTACTGGATGTTAGAAAGTTAAACAAGTTCTTCATTCAGTATTCCCGTCTCCCTTCCTTTTTCCTGAAGGAAAGGCCTGGCGACATCCCAAGGCCGTATCTGTGTGTTTACTGTACTCTCTCTCTCTGCTGAATCGGCTCTTTCTCCTCGCTTCACAGACGTCCATTCATCGCCCTGTCGAGGCACTGTAAATATGAACAGTTTTGTGTTTTTCGAGTCATGGATTTGATCTGTGAGGTAAAGTAAACTTCTGCTCTGTGACTGAGCTTCACTGCTGGTTTACAGACCGCAGTATTTGTTTTCAGTGATGAAGAGACGTTCAATGAACTATGAATGAAGTCGTCGTCGTCGTCGTCAGAGAACCGGTCCGGGCTGGAAAGCTAAAGGTCGAAGGTCAAATCAAGGGTCACTTACTTATTAATGGACAGACAGAATCGATGCACACACTGTAAAAAAAATTCCGGTAAATTTACGGTAAAAAAAACTGGCAGCCAGAAATTTACCGTAAAAAATGCGGTAGCAACATTTTAGGTTTTAGAGACTTACCTTAAATTTACAGTTATTTGATACAAAACACGTATTTGATACTCTTGATATAATGATAATTTACCGAACAAAGCTTTTCCACGAGATGAGAAAGTTAATATTAATATTCACACAAACACTGAACACCATCATGGTAACACTAAACATTCATTACACAAACAAATGCAATAAACATTCATTTAACAACATTAAATTTAACATAAAACCCTAAAGTACAAAACTGATTAGAACCAAAAAATAGGAAAATCTATGAAGAAACACAAAAGTACATTTTACATTTAACATTTTAAGTTAAACGGGAATGTCAATTTATTGTTTTTCATTGTAAATTATACAATGACTTGTTCTTTTTCACGTCTAAAAACGGTATTTCGCTGTCAAATTACATTAAATGTACGAATCAATCTATCACAGTTATTCGCTGTATATAGTACGCAAACTTTCTTTCACCGTAGCATTTTTACAGTCTTTTACCGTTAAAATCAAGATCATTTTTGTACAGTGAGAGATTTCCCAACCCCTAAACACACAGCCGGAGAAAAGCGCTGACCTTGAGGTAAATGTTCATATATTTTCCATTTCCACTGTACGTTCTCTGTCTCTGATGTGCTGACTTT